GCTTCACAAAATACAGTGGTTATTGAAGCGGTGGCTAATTTCTGTAACTGCCTTATAATGAGGAAGTTATGTGTTTAATCAATGAACTGAAGGGTGACTGTTTATGACTCTGATCCATGCCAATAAAGGTTTTGAATTGAATTGAACCTCCTCCTGCTGCTTCCTCCTCTGCCTCCCCCCCCCCGCGAGTATCGCGGGTCCCCCCTTGTGATACTCTATTTTGCAAAATGTCCACACTTATACATTTGAACCTGTTCTAGTGGTAGACTGTGTCTCTTTGGGCACCTGTTTGAAAAACACCAAATTTACTGAACTGTGTACGTAATCCCTGCCTAACTGAGAATTGCTTAGGTAAGGGCTTTAATATTATTTTTGTTTTCCTACCAGTTTGCCACCAGGTATCAACTACAGGGCACCGCCTGTCTCCAACCACATTGAAGTACCATTCCCAAGCTTCCTTGTTGATAGGTTCTCCCACTGAAGAGGAAGAAAAAAGGCAAGCAACATATAAATCAATGATCTAGTAAAGTCTTAAGCCTTACAGCTGGCCCTCATGGGAATATATGTGGCTACCTAGCATTTTCAGTCTTCTATATGGTCTCCATGAAGTTGTGTTGTATTACTATTTCTGATTCATCTGAAACTTCAGTTCTGAATTCCACCATCCCATTTCCTGGTCCAGAGTAAATGGGGATTCTAATATGACTTAGCCATAAATATGCTAGCCAAGACCAGTCGTTTGGCTTGGTACACACCTGATCCAAGGATCTTGAGGGAAGATCTGTCATATTTCTTCACCCAGTCATCCCCATATCTCAGCAGTAGGCGAATAGCAGTAGGGGCACCATAGAACTGATTTATTCTTAATCTTTCCACAGTTTCCCAGTAACGTCCTAGAATATGAAAAAAGATCCAGTTACCTCAGGACACGGGTTCTTCCCGCCTGATACTCAAATTAGTCATACCTTTGCCTCCTGCATCAGGCAGCCTATCTTAAAAAAAAGAAAAGAAAGAAAAACCCTCTGCCTGATGATACAGTCACTTGCCCATTTGTTCAGTTCCTTTTTTAAAAAAGCCAGAATCAGCCTTTTAAAATAGAAAAACAGTATTGGTGGGGGAGAATGTGCCTTATGATATTAGTTTGGTCAGTCAGGCAACACTCTGTGTGGCCTCCCTTGCAGCAAACAGGGAAAAACAGGAAGAACAAGTCTTCCACCCCCAAGTATATATGTACACCATGTTCACAGGAGGCTCATGGCTCAAGTTATGTATGTCTGCATGCAGCCTTAGTCATGTGACTCCTTTGTGCCTTGAATGAATATGCAGACAGTAGGAATGGGACTGAGTGTGCTGGCTGTGCCTCCCCCACTCCAGATGATCACCAGCTTGTGAGCATAGCACCTACTCGTGGAGGAACTGCCTACGTGGATGCTCGATTCCTGTGACTGGAAAGCAGCATTCTGAACCACAGGGAAGTAATGTGATTGGAAAACAGCATTCTGAATCACAGGGAGGTAATGTACATGTGGACACTTTCTTTGTGCATAGGTGCCACTCTCCATGTGTTCACTCAATTCAGTCAACATGCTGAGGGTTCCTGAGCAGAGGGCTACAGTGGCAGAGTCCACGTGTCTGCCACATGTTGATCAATGGCTGCTGACAGTTCCATGCTCAGAACTTAGTTTATGGGTAAATGTGAGTCCAATTTTGGTATGGGACCATAGAATATTGTGAGATGGAGGTTTAAGCTTTCTCCCTGCATCATTTTATCAAATGCTTGGTGCTTGGGGGGCCACAGTGGGAGGGCTTCTGGAGTTATGGCCCTGCTGGTGGACCTCCTGATGGACCCTGGGTTTGGGCCACTGTGTGACACAGAGTGTTGAACTGGAGGGGCCATTGGCCTGATCCAATATGGCTTCTCTTATGTTCTTATGAAACTGCCCCTGGGAGCTGCTTTTTGTCTTTCTGGGGAAATTGCAAGTAGTAATGGCTATGTGCAAGTGTCCCCAAGAGGACAAATAGCAGGTCTCCAAGGCTGTTCCAGGCTGGGAAAACAGTATGGGGAAAAGGCGTAAGCCTCCCTTCCCCACACATCATGGTCTTGATCCATGTTGGGCCTGTGCCTGCCTTCAAATTATGTCATAAGCATGGAACTCCCAGACCACACTTGATCAACATGACCCATGGCAAAAATGTGGGGGACCCAAGGACTGTGATATTTGAATTGGCCCTTCTCATTTCAGAGTAAGACTACAGCATGAATTTTGGAGAAAGCTCCCCCAATATCAGAAAGATCCTCTCAAGAGGTGAATTGGTAATGGTCCTTTGCCTCCCCAGAATGTGTCCAAAGATTAATTTATATGAATTGTACATGGAAACACATTGCTTCTTTTCCTTAAAGTGAAACAGTGAGCAATAGTGGTTAATTTATAGCCACGCCATGATTAAACTTGGGCAGTACAAGTTGAGAAGGGACTGAGCTGCTCTGGGGACTGGATCTAGCCATGGGTCACCTGTGAGCAAGCACAGCAGTTCACCTTTTTTTTTGTTTACCTGGATTAGGGTATACTGGAGTGCTCTCAAAAAGGACTGTAGTTCCTCCATTGCACAAAGGTCCATAAACCACATAGCTGTGTCCTGTAATCCAACCAATGTCTGCAACACACCCAAAGACATCTCCATCGTGGTAGTCAAACACATACTGCCAGAGAGAAGGTAATAAAAGACAAAACCTGGAGCTTTCTTCTGTACTCAGTGAGTTTACAGAATAACTCTGGAAAAGATGATGTTTGCAACTGGAGTGTCCTAGAGTGGCATACCCCCAATAACTGTTATTGGCTCTCCTCCCTGGTTTTGATGTTGGGTGTTTCTGTGTTTATATGTTTTTTATGGAATTATTTTCTATATTATTTTAAATGCTGTTTTAATGTTGTAATGTTTGCTGCCTTGGGAACCCTATTTGTGTGGAGATATGGCATAGAAATGTTTTAAATAAATAAACAGCCTTTCTGCTCCTGGAAAGCTCACTCATATTGACACCACCTCTTTTCCCTCTCTTGGGGGAAAAATGGTAGTAGTAAGATATGCTCATGGGGTAGGAAACCATCACATCTATCTCTTTTGATAGGATAGAATGAGACACTTGCCAGTCACTTATGACTTATTTTGCTTTTGTAATCTGTAGCCAGCACACCTGTTTAGTGAGGCAAAAGGTCATTCATGCTGTGCTCTGCTGTACTCTCAGGTGATGCCATAAACACAGCTTCATCCATATTTCTCAGAAAGCACTGGGACCGAGGCAAGAATCTCATTCATGGCCTAAGGTTGTGCTTTTCTTATCCTCTGTTGATGTGAACTCACACTGACAGCAGTAATCACTAACACTAAAAAAAGATAGATCTAGGTGGGCAGCCATGTTGGTCTGAAGCAGTAGAACACATTTTGAGTCCTGTGGCACCTTTTGTTGGTCTTAAAAGTGCTACTGGACTCAAAATTTGTTCTACTCATGAAAAATGAAGCTTGTGAAGAAGACCTCTTGAAAAGGCATTCTCCCATATGATCTAAAGAGATATGAATACCCCCCTCCCTTTAAAAAAGGTGATGTGTGAAGGTCTAGGAGGGAAAGAGGTGGGCAGCCATGTTGGTCTGAAGCAGTAGAACACATTTTGAGTCCTGTGGCACCTTTTGTTGGTCTTAAAAGTGCTACTGGACTCAAAATTTGTTCTACTCATGAAAAATGAAGCTTGTGAAGAAGACCTCTTGAAAAGGCATTCTCCCATATGATCTAAAGAGATATGAATACCCCCCTCCCTTTAAAAAAGGTGATGTGTGAAGGTCTAGGAGGGAAAGAGAGAAGGATAAAACCTGATAATGTTAAGAAAAGATGTAATATACAAGTAATCTGTGATTGTTCTTCAGGACAATTTTCAGTATGTCATTCCCTTCCATCTCTTATATTGCCGGTAATTACATCAAAACATTTCACAAACATTCCCCAAGCCAGGAGGAGACCACTTGCTCCACAAATGCCCTGCAAGGTTTATCCTGATTATTAACAGTCATGGGATAAAAGGACAAGTCCTCTTGTGGATCAAAAACTGACTAATTAATAGGAAACAGAGAGTGAGTATAAATGGGCAATTTTCTCAGTGGAGGGTGGTAAGCAGTGGGGTACCGCAGGGATCAGTACTGGATCTGATGCTTTTTAACTTGTTCGTTAATTATTGGAATTGGGAGTAAGCAGTGAAGTGGCTAAATTTGTGGATGACACGAAGTTGTTCAGGGTGGTGAAAACCAGGGAGGATTGTGAGGCACTCCAAAGAGATCTGTTGAGGATGGGCAAGTGGGCATCAACGTGACAAATGGGGTTCAATGTGGCCAAGTGCGAAGTGATGCACATAGGAGCCAAAAATCCTAAATATAAATACATTTTGATGGGGTCCAAACTGGCAGAGACTGACCAAGAGAGAGATCTTGGAGTCATAGTAGATAACTCAATGAAAATGTCGAGACAGTGTGCGACTGCAATAAAAAAAAAAGGCCAGTGCTATGCTGGGGATTATTAGGAAGGGAACTGAAAACAAATCAGCCGGTATCATAATGCCCCTGTATAAATCGATGGTGCGACCTCATTTGGAATACTGTGTACCAGGGCTTTTTTGGTAGAAACAGCCCAGCAGGAACTCATTAGCATAATAGGCCACACCCAACAGCAGAAACGCATTAGCATATTAGACAGTGCAGCTCATTAGCATAATAGGCCACACCCCATGGCTTGCCCGGGCGCCCCGTGGCTGTGAGGAGCCCGGGCAAGCCGGCCCTTGGAGGGGAGGGGAGGCGGTTTAAACTGCCTTTCCTTGGCTTGGGTGTAGTGGGTGTGGCCAACTCTGAAGCCAGCCGGAACTCCATTCCTGTGTGTTCCTGCCCAAAAATAGCCCTGCTGTGTACAGTTCTGGTCACCACTCCTCAAAAAGGATATTATAGCACTGGAAAAAGTGCAGAAAAGGGCAACTAGAATGATAAAAGGGTTGGAACACTTTCCCTATGAAAAAAGGTTAAAGCACTTGAGGCTCTTTAGCTTGGAGAAACGATGAGTGAGGGATGACATGATCGAGGTCTACAAGAGTATGCATGGGATAGAGCAGGTCGCAAAATAAGTACTTTTCTCCCTTTCTCACAATACAAGAACTCGTGGGCACTCCATGAAATTGCTGAGTAGTCGGGTTAGAACAAATAAAAGGAAGTACTTCTTCACCCAAAGTGTGATTAACACATGGAATTCACTGCCACAGGAGGTAGTGGCGGCTACAAGCATGGACGGCTTCAAGAGGGAATTGGATAAACATATGGAGCAGAGGTCCATCAGTGGCTATTAGCCACAAGGTATAGATAGGAACCCTCAGTCTGTGGCAAGTGATGCACTGTATTATTGGTGCTTGGGAGGAAGCAACAGTTGGGAGGGCTTCTAGTGTCCTGGCCCCACTGATGGACCTCCTAATGGCACCTGGTATTTTTGGCCACTGTACAGTGACAGAGTGTTGGACTGGATGGGCCATTGGCCTGATCCAACATTGGCTTCTCTTATGTTCTTATCATCTTAATGGACAGCCTGGTTCTGTATTCACATCTGCATCATTGTGATGTGATTTCTCAGTGTCACTTTGCTGACTGTAGCTGCTGTCAGTTTACTAATACTGCCCTTGAGTCAAAACCGTTGCCGTGTGTTTAGCAATTACTAGATTACATATTTGAATGCATTAGCAAATTCTCTGCTTTTCTTGGAGCCATTCCTTCTTATCTCACTTCCTGTCCGTATTTATGCCACAATATTCTCCAATAACCCTTCTCAAGTTTCCTAGCTGCTGCTTTTGGAGCTGTTATTTCAAACAGTATCCTCACCACTTTCTGATTCCATTATTTGGGTTGCTGTAGCAATGCCATCCTGCTGTTGACAGACTAGGATTCCAGAGGAGAAGATTGTGTGTGTGGGGGGGGTGAAGTATAACAGCATTTGCAATGGAAAGTTGTCATTCTCTACTGTTTTCAGGCACTACCAGCCTGCTGTTACCAGCTGGGGGAAAGAAGCGGGAACTTGTTCCAGTCCTATTTCATAGTTTCCAAAAGTAATTGGAACAAAGTGTACTGGATTTTTATTATCTTGAGAGCTCTTTGCATTCATATTTCCTTATATATGCTCCTGCACTTATAACCTCAGCTTCATTCCATTCCTAGCTAGGGAGTTACACACTCTCAGAAGTCTTCTACAGTCCCACTAGCAATTAACAAAGTGCACATTGTACAGCAAGTGTTGTATGGGGGTGGGGTCCCCTTTGGTCTGCATGGCTTCCTGGGTCTTGTCCATATCTGACATAGATTAGAGGGTAGGTCAGAACCCAGTCATAGTAACATTGCAGAAATACTTTCCACTAAGTCCTAGGGTTTGACCTGTGCCAAACAATCTCTCATCTCATGACAAAGAGATCTGAAGACTAGACTAATAACCCAGTCTAATGTGATTTACTCTGAAGGAAATCTGAAATAAAGGATTTCAATCCAGGAAACTCGATTAGGATCACCTGCCAAATGAAAGCTACAATCCTATACATGTCCATGGAATTCACTGGAGCTTATGGGTACCTTTACATGTTCCTCAGCAGGAGCAAAAGCAGCTCAGGGGAAGTCAGCAGGAAAATGGTGGGGGAAGAAAGGATTAAAGATCCCCCATGAAATTCTTCCCCTCCAAAAAGCAGCTTCAGTGGCTACATTTGGAAAAGGAAATAAAAAATTGTTTTCTCACAAACTGTGGGCTTGATTGGAGATCAGAGGGTGGATTGTAGGCTTGGCAGAACTCCTGGTTTGGTGGGAAACTTCTCACCCCACCCACCCCATCCATGCCACTCAGGTGTGTGGGGGAGGGGAGGGGGAAATGGGGAGATGGTCAGCAGTGTCCTGATGCCATTAAATCACTTCCAGCGTGACCCAAATGTGGCGTCATTGTGTCAGATGAAGCTCTAGCATTCATCCAAATCCTAGAGTGTTGCTGGCAACATGATGACGTCACTTCTGTCACCAGTAAGCCCCCCGCCCCCCTGAACATGAGTCTCCTGCCAGTTGACAGGCTCAGGGTAGCAACCTTTGAGCAGAGACTGCAGAAGGCAGAGTTGGAGGAGGGAAGGGAGCTCAGCAAGGACGTAATACCATAGAGTCCACCATCTGAAGCGATTTCCTCCCAGGCCTGTAGCCAGGATTTTTAAAGTCAGGGGGGCATTTAAATTTCATAGGGGGCACTGGCTAATCGAATTAAAGGAATACCCGGCTCCTTCCCTGCTGCTGCTTGGGGGCCCTGGGCAGGATGGGAAGTCCTGGGGCCTTGCCAGTAAGTCAGGGGTCCTAGCCCCGAGATGCCCACTGTAGCTTTCTGTTGTTGTTCAGTCGCACAGTCAAGTCCGACTCTTTGTGACCCCATGGACCACATCACGCCAGGCCCTCCTGTCTTCCGCCGTCCTCTGAAGTTGGCTCAATTTCATGTTCGTTGCATCTATGTAGGGTTGCCAAATCTTGAAAACGGACCGGCGGGGGAGCGTCCTGCCGGGGAAAACAAAGAGTTTTCCCCTCAAATGGCGTGGCCCCGCCCCCAGCGTGCGACGTCACTTCCGGGTGACGCGCACGCCGGGGCGGAGTTCCCCCCGGGCCCGGATTCCCCGGCGTCGGGTAACGGGCCTCCGGGGCGGGGGGAATTCCGCCCTACCAGGGGGGTTGGCAGCCCTACATCTATGACACTGTCTAACCATCTCATCCTTTCCCGTCCCCATCTTCTTTGACTTTCAATCTTTCCCAGCATCAGGGTCTTCTCCAGTGAGTGCTCCCTTCTCATTTGGTGAACAAAGTATTTGAGCTTCAGTTTCATTATCTGGCCTTCCAGGGACCAGTCAGGGTTGATTTCTTTTAGGATTGACTGATTTGATCTCCTTGCAGTCCAAGGGACTCTCAAGAGTCTTCTCCAGCACCATAGTTCAAAAGAATCTATTCTTCGGCGCTCAGCCTTCCTTATAGTCCAACTCTCGCAGCCATACATGACTACTGGGAATACCGTTGCTCTGACCATGGGTGATGTCTCTACTTTTTATCATGCTGTTTAGGTTCGCTACAGCTACAGGCCTGATTTTCTCCAGGGGGACTGATCTCTCTAGTCTAGACATCAGTTGTTGTAACTTGGGGGAAATTCCAGGCCCCTCCTGGATGTTGGCAACTGACTGCTCACTGCTGCCTGCCTGGCTTTGCATCTGCTATGGCCTTAGTCACGGTTAAGCTTGTGACTAGACAGATCCCCTTTCACAGAGAATGAATGAGATCACTTAGGGACAGAGATGTCTTGGAGATGGTCAGGTGTAAATGCCACATGGCAGGTTAACAGAGTCTTGTTTGGGCATCTTTACCTTGTGCGTGATGGCAGTATACAGCAAATAGCCAGCCTGGGAGTGGACCAAGCCTTTGGGTTTTCCAGTGCTGCCTGACGTGTAAAGGAGGAACAGAAAATCTTCACTCTCCAAAGCAACAGGCTCACAAGTCACATCCTCTTTCATCATTGCCTATCATGGAAAGCAGAAAAGCACTGTCAGTTGGATCTCTTCAAAGGCTCCAAGGTCTCCTTTAGTTTCCCATGTACCAGAACTAAAATAAGCCCTCATGCCTGAACAGAAAAGCTTTTACAGCTCCATGTCAAGCTGTTTCCAAGAACACTGTCAAAAGTTGCTTAAGGGGATGGGAGTACTCAGACAAGGCACTTAGGACATAAGTTGAATTTTGTCTTTTAAAAAACTACGAGCAGGATAGGCATCATGGTTTAAGGTTCCAATCTACAAACAGCATACCATTACATAAAGTTGGCTATAAATATTCCTACACTAGCACAACGCCACAGTTCTTGGCCAAATGATTCAGTCCTGAACCTTGATGTGGTACACCAGTACCGCACCTGGATACATTAGAGGAGGTCTCTCATTGTGCCATTTTGTATAATCCTATGAACCTTTCTCCCTGCTGGAGGCACAGACACCAGAGCAACTCTATGCCTACCTCGTCATCATATATTAATAGAGTCTTGTTTCCCATGCCGGGATTAGGATGTTCTTCAGCCAACCCAAGTCATGCTTGTACCACTGTTGTTGTTGTGATAAGATAAGACAGCATTTCCCAGTATATACTGCCTGACTGTTCTTTGGGTAGGTCAGGAGTTCTCGTGCTTGTACTACATTCATTGTAACAACTGTAGGTGGGATACTGATGGAATGAGGACAGCAGGGAGTCCACAAATGATATGGAGAAGACGGGGACATGATCTCACCTCTTCCAGTGGTATATCGAGGGCTGACATGGGAACCTTTCCTTCTGTCCTCTTTGAAACAAAGACTCGTTTAACCATGGGACATAATTTCACTGCCTGGTCCACCGTCTGCTTTAGTTCAACAACCTTGCCCCCTCGCAAGCCCTGGTTCACTGTGATCACTGTTTCAGACTCAGCTGGAGAAGGTGAAAGAAAAGAAATTAAATGCAACACGTTGTAGTCTTCCCCTTTGACCCAGCTACTCCCCAATGCTTCACAGACTAAGTTAAAAAAGAGATTTTGTAGCACATTTGTCTTCAGCTGGTGAAGGACACACAAAGGGCCTATAGTGGATCACACCTAGGGTTGCCAACATCCAGTGTCCAGAGATCAGTTCTGGATAAAACAATAATTTTAGAAGGCAAATTCTATGGTATACCATAGATTCTCGAAAATGCTCCCCAAATTCTGCCCTGCACAGGCACCAACCCCAAATCTCCAAGAATTTTCCAGGTCAGAGCTGGCAACCATAGCCACATCACAAACCTTTCCCCTTGTCAAGAAAAAAAAAGAAAAGAAAAAAAGAAACACTGGAGAATAGGAAGAAAAACATAAGAGGAAAACAGACGCCAGTGTTTTCTCATGGGGAAAAGATTGCGTAAGCAATGCGATTTTCCTGCTGGGAGCAGGAGATCTCCTGCCTCCAGCTCCTGCTGCCTACCAACACTCCGGTGGAAAAAAATGTAAAACATTAAAACATGCAGTCAGGCAATGGCTGTCAAGTTTTATTGTTCAAGGGGGGTTTATTGTTCAAGGTCTAAGAACAGGGGAAGGAAAGGAAAGGAAAGGAAAGGAAAGGAAAGTAAAGGAAAGGAAAGGAAAGGAAAGGAAAGGAAAGGAAAGGAAAGGAAAGGAAAGGAAGCTACTTCTTAAAAATTAAGGCTAGAAATTCCAAGAACATGACAGACAGATTGTTATAACTAGATGTTCTGACTAGATGAAACAAAATGCCCCTAGCCCCCAGTGTGGGAGACAAAAGGCTACGTCAGGCATAAGAGTTAGGAAGCTCCTGGAGATTTGGGGATGGAGCCCTAGAAGGGCAGAGTTTGAGGAGGGGAGGGACCTCAATGGGGTTTAATGCCAGAGAGTTCACTCTTCAGGGCTGTCATTTTCTCCAGGGGATCTGACTTCTGTAGACTGGAGATGAGTTATAATTCTGGGACATCTCCAAGCCCCACCTGGAAATCCTTTTTTTGTTTTCTCAACTTTTATTTCTTCTGCCAGGGTGAGTAACAGAAAGGCTTATGCATAATCACTCTTTTTAAAACTTTAGTTGGTCACTAAGAGCTGATGACAAGACTGCTAATGTTCCTAAGAGAAAGCCAAGAAAAGGAGATGGTCTCTATGTAGAGGACACATCTGTAGGACACAAAGCACTTACCATCCTGGATCCTCTCCGCCAAAGCAACAGAGCTGAATCCGGCAAATACCACAGTGTGTATGGCGCCAATCCTTGCACAGGCCAACATACTGGCCACAGCCATCGGACAGGGGGGCATGTAGATGGTAACCCTGTCTCCCTTCTTCACTCCCTCTCGTTTCAAAGTGTTTGCAAGGCGACATGTCATCTCCAGCAATTCTCTGTCCAATGAAAACACCTGATAGTCTTGCTGCAGTCTGATTTATTATCCCATGAACCCCCTCGGAGTCACACTCGTTGATGGTGAATATTATGTATGCAGTATAGTACTTATGAATATCCACATTCAGTTTCTGAAACTTTCCATTAAAAGTAACATCAGTGGGAATGTTCTGTGGATGAAACTTGGAAACTGACTAGCACTCTGGATTGACAGTACTGTGGTAGATGGATGAAACATTTAACTGATCTTTTGCTCTAAGATCCTAGGGAGCCATGCTGGGCCATAGGAAAGATCCAAAGGCAAAAGTCACACAATGCTTTTTATTAGGACCAGTCCAAAGTTCATACAATAACAAGAGGGGACCCGCAACAAAATGTTGTATAATGTGTTGTGACTCCCTGAGCTAGGACAAAAATCTGTGAGCTGGAGGCTAAAAAGCTGTAGCTAGCTCACACTAACTCAGCTTAGAGGGAACACTGGTGGCTGCAGTCCAGAGAAACCCCACAGTTTAAAAGTAATCATTGTTATCAAAGCTCTGCAGGTTTAATAGCATTCCCATGACTAAACTACTGTAACTCAACATTACAGCTGATTTAGCAATACCACTTTGGTCAGGATGTGGCATCAAAGAGCAGCGTCGCTGGGGGAGCTACATTTGAAGCCTCTGCCATTCCCACTCTATTGGCATTTCAATGCAGGGAAAGAACTGGCCAGGCTGACCCACCTCTGGACAAAATCCTTCTGCTCCAGACTTCTTTGCAAAGGGTGATTTAAAAAAAAGCTTGCTGGCTCTAGCATCTAGTATCTGAGAAGGAAGTTTGGCACACACTCACACTCTTGCATTCTCCGAAGAAAAAAAGGTTTTCCTCCCTGCCCACTCTGTTTTTTCCCCCTTCTATCAGTAAACCTAAAACTTAATTAGCTGGGAGGAGGTGGGGGAAGAGGAAGAGC